AAAACCTTTTTAAATATTTAAGATATTGAAAACCCATATACGGATGTATAACGGGAACGCTCCGGCCATCAAATAAATTTAAGTAGAAGCAATTGTAATTTTAAGCTCCCAAGTATTATCCCCTTCAGACATTAAGGCAGCATCGGAAACCGTCAGATGAAAGTGTGAGGAGGAGAGGCCGAGGGCCCCTGCCCCAGGACGGGGGAGACCCAGCCCAGCAGCACACGCGCGGGCTCTACCACCCCTCCCCTCCCCCACTCCATGGGTCCAAGCAAAACCACTCTTGGAGGCCAGAGTGCCCCTCAAGAGGTGCCCCCTGCCAGCTCTGTCCCTTCCACCCAGGGCCCACCCTCTCTCCCCAGCTGGACACAGGGGCTCCTTCCTGCCCAAGTCCCTCCACCGCAGCCAAGGTGCTTTCAGCTCTGCCTCAGTGGGGTGGGCACCCAGCGAGCTCCCAGGCCTTGGGGAGGGGGTCTCTGGAGATCATGCCCTGCCCCTCCTTCAGGGCCTGAGGAACAAGGCTGAGACTCTCCCCTCCACCCCAACCCCCAGCATAACTCCCGCCTGGCTGCATCCCCTTTCCCGAGGAATCCAAGCCCCGAGTTTAATGAGTCGTGAAGTGTGAGAACTTCCTGAGACCGCAGCATCCCTGATGCCAAATCCAGATGTGCGTGCGGGCAGGAGGGGCTGGGCCTCCCGGCTTCCTTGAGGAAGAGCTGCCCTGGTCTGTCCAAAGCGTCCAGGTTCCTGCCATCCGGGCCCTGAATCAGAAACAGGCAGCCTCTCCACTGAGAAATTACTCTTTTTATTTCATGTAGCGTTCCTGGTGCCCTATTTCACGGCACCGACAAACGGAATATTACTTTTAAAACAGTATGAAATACCAGGTCCTGTCCTCTGCCTTTTCGGGGGAATTGTTTTCACTGAATGGTGAGAAGCCCTGGTGTTTCTTTTGAGGACTGAGCGGTGGGTCCCAGGGAGGAAGAGGAAAATTCTCGGGGGTTGTCCTGGAGTCCGGCGAGCCCCCAAGTGCCGGTCACTCGATGGTGCCCCTTGACTGCCTGCCGCGCCACCGGCGGTAAAGGTGTCTTGGATGGGACTTACCATCCAATGTACAGCACGTTTTCCAGGCTGCTTCTGCATGTTAATTAGCATTCTTTATTACCCACTCGGAGCCTGGTCTAGGGAGTGACTATTTACAAGGTCATCTATTACCTGTAATCTGCCTGCCTCCCGGGGTCTGTCCCGATCTCATGGAGAAGTCCCTCTGACCTGCAAGAGACAGACTTTGCCCCTCCTCTCCTCCCGTCCTCCTGATGAGTGCTCCCTCTGCCAGCCCTCCTAGCAGACAGCTTTGTTTTCTGGCGTGCTGTGGTCAGGGCTGGGGAAGACTCTGCAAGAGGGCTTCCTCTGGACAATTTCCGGCCCTCAGCTGGCCCTTAGACGGCTGCCCTCTTTTGCCTCCAGCCAGTAAGAGGAGGCCCAGGCCTGAGTTCTGGAGCCGCCCGCAACGCAGTCCCCAGGCACTGGAGCCGCCAGCAGGGGCGTGATGGTGACCCAAGTGACCCCACACTAGTCTGGGGGTACTTTAGGGGTTGTGTGTGGGGTGGGGAGAGGCGAGGCCTTCCCCATGAACCAGACAGAAGCTGAGCTCTAAGAACGTCCCCACTGCTCCCGCCTACGGTCTTCTGTCTTCCCAAGGCGGCTGTCCCTTGGAGGAGGGGAAAGGGTAGCTGTGTGATGGCCGCACTCAGGAGCTGGCTTTACCTCCCCAGGGCAGGGCCAGGCAGAGTCCAGGAAAGACCCACTAGTGAAAGTGGCCTATATGATGCATTTTCCCCTGATCCACTTAAACTAAAAACAAAACACAAGGGCTGTGGGAGAGGCGTCCAGGCTCCACCTCGTGTCCAGCCAGCCTTGTGGACCTGCTGAGCCTTCCAAAGGCATCGAGTGGCAGGGGAGGGTCTCCACGAGGGACCTGCACTTGGATTTAGATTTCTGTGGATTTGGATCCAAGACCTCCCAGCTTCTGAGCCAGGAAAACCCCTCTCCAGGGTCTCCATTTGGGTCCCACCCCATGCAAACCCCACTCTTGCTGGAGTTTCCTGTGAACAACTACTCACTAGAGTTAAAACTCTCCAAAAAAAAAAAGATAAAGTGATTTAAAGATAATTAATTGCATTAAACTATTGACTAACTACCTTGCTCAATAGTAATTCATTTAGAGAATATTAAAATCGGAGGAACAATAATAAAATTGATGCCAATTCCCACGGGGAGGGAGATGGCCAGCAAATTGGATCCTTTTCTTAATCTGGCGTAAATAATAACAAGTCTGCTCCCCTTCTCTCAGGCCAATTCCCCCATCATTTATTCCAGACTCTAAAGCCGGGTTTCATAATTGATATCAGTTACTCAATGAGTGCTTTTCCATTTGTTCTTGTTATCCATGATAATTGCGAAGTTCAGCCTCTCTCCGAGTTGAGATTCGGGCTGCACGGTGGAGGCCTGCCTCCAGCTCAGGAGCTCATCACCGGGCTAGGGGTGGGGGGCTCTGGCTGCTCCAGATCTGAGGTCTCTCCTTCCTGACAGTCTGTCACAGGCCTCCGGCCTGTCCTGGGAGAGCACTTCAGGGAACTGACCACAGTGGCTGGACAGTGCCTGGACCTTCCTCACCACCCAGAGCCCAGTGCCATCCACCACCTGAGAAGATGCCCTCAGCAGCAAACCCAGGGCGGAGAGCTCCAGTGACAATCGGTTTTTGTTTGAAAATCGGTGGGTGGAAGCAATGAACCCCAGGCAACACCTGGGAAAAAAATCTGGAGAAGCCAGGAGGAAAATTTGGGAGACAGAGGAAAGGGGGGCTGAGGAGGGACGCTTGACTGAGGGGGGCCTGACCGGGGAGGGGGACACACCTGCTCCCAAGCCACCTCTTAAACCGCCTGGACACTGGAGGGACACAGACCCTGGGCCGGAGCCCTGACAGTGGGTCTGGTCCCGGAGATGACTCTTTCGTTATTTATTCACTTATTTATTCATTTGTAAAGTGTTTACTTAGCTCGGTGCAGCTGTAACATCTCATTTACAGCGTGGCCTCGGGGCATAGAAACAATTGGCAACAAAAGAGTAACCCCGGAGAATCACAGAAACACAGACACACACACAACAGGAGACGGGCTGGGGGTGGGGGAGAGGCCAGCGGGGAGCTGCGCGACCGCTGGACAGCGAGTGGACACGGGGAGACCCCTGGGCAGGCCTGGGACAGAGGTGGGCAGCGGGTGTCCAGACGGCGGGCGGGGCCAAGGGGGCGTCCTTGGGAGCCCACCCAGGACTGTGTGCGGGCCGGAGGTGTGCATTCATGGGGGTCGGCTCGACGAGCCTGGGGTGACTTTAGAGAGGATGGGACCTGCCTGGGATCTGGAGACGGCGGTGGCCAAGCGGAATCGCCCCCTCAAATCGCCCCGGCCTCGGATGCGACGGTCGCGGAGGGCGAGCAGCCCTGCTTCTCTTGGGCTCCAGCCCGACCTTTCCAAGCCGGTTCCCCAGGAAGCCCTTTGCGTCCCGTGCGATGCCGGCGCGGGGCTCGCAGGGGTGCAGCCCTGGGAATCGGCGGCCTCCCTGCGGCGCCCACGGCCGAGCCTGAACCCCGCGCGGGTCCTCGCGGCTGCGGGCGGCCGGGAAACTGAGGCCCGCAGCGCGGAGATGCGCGCCAGGCTGCGAGCCCCGAGACCGGAGTGGGCTGGGTGCCGGGGAAGGGGCGCCCGCTGGGCGCCAGGGGCAGCGGGCGGCCATGGCGGGGATGTGCGGGACCCCCGTCCCGGGGCCGCGCGCACAGCGCTTCCCGGGCGTCCCCCTGGCCGGGGGTGGGGGGGGCGGGTTCAGCCCGGTCGCCGCACAGAAGGGGCGGCAGTGGGGTCCCCGCCCCCGCGCAGCCGTCAGGGCGCGGACAGGAGGCAGCTGTGACTGTTTAACTGGGAGCCGGTTGCCTGGCAACCTGAGGCGGCTCATTACCGCGGCCACAGTGATTAACCAAAAAAGAAAAAAAAGAGAAAAGAAAAAAGGGGGGGGGGAGAAAAGAAAAAAGTAAGGAAGGAAAAACAGGAAGAAAGCAGGACTGTGAAAGTAAAATGGATTATTTAATTAGCTAATTGATAATCAACTTTTTAATTATTCACTTAATTAAAAAAGTGTAACTACAACACGGGCCTCGCCGAGCGCGGCCGCGCTGGCAGCGTTTTCAGAGCCGCCTTCCCTCCCCTCCTCCTGCGCCCGGAGGCTTCCTCTCCCGCTGGCCGCGTCCCCAGGAGGGGACGACGGGGAAATAGTCTCCGCCCGCCGGGTTCGGGAACTTTCCCCCAGAGCCCTGGGTGCGCTTCCTCTGAGCCTGCCCCTCGCCGCGCCCCCAGCCTCGCCTCCCCGCGTCCAGGCCCCGGCGCGGGCGCTGAGCGGGCGGGACGGCTGCCTCGGTCCACCCGGCGCCCCGGCGCGGCGGACGCCGCCGGGCTGCGGCCGCAGGGGACGTCTGCCCGGGTCTGTGCCCGGCACCTGGGCCACGCCGGCTGTGGGCAGGTGTCCCCGCCGTCTTCGCTTTAAGAGAGGAAAGGGAAGGCGACTTCGAAGGGCAATTCGAGGAGCAGCCGGGGGCGCGGGGACGGGCCCTTGGCCTGAGACGGGCGGGGCTGCCGCCTGTGCCTGGGAGGCCGACCGATGGCGGACTCGAGCGGACTAGAATCTCCGAGACTGGCCGAGGGGTAGGCCGGACGCCGCCCTTCAGCACGCGCTCGGGCCGGTCTCCACTGCGGGGCCCGCAGCCCAGGCCCTGGCGCGGCTTCCTCCCCGCCGGAAGGGAGCGGCCCCAAGCGCGGGTCCCTTTCCTGGGGGCCCGCACCCCAAGGACAGCGTCACCGCAGGCACCTAGGCCGCCGGGCCTGCGTGGGGAAGCGCTGCGGGCGGACAGAGAGGCCTGTCTCTCCCCAGCCTGCCTCCTCCGGTTCTGCTTACCTGGACCCAAGGGCCGCCGCCCAGGTTGGGGTGTGAGAGGGGCGCGCAGGCCGGACCTGCTCTCGAGCGGGCTGCGCAGGGCGGGGTCTCGGAGGGCGGGCTGCTGGGTCTCTTGGGCGGGACCGGGGCAGGCGCGGCTCCGTCCAGACCCGTTTCCCGGGCCGCTCCTCTCCCGGGCTCCCGCCTCCTTTCCTCCCTCCCTCCCTCTCACACCCTGCCCTGGCCCTTTCCAGCCTCCCTCTCAGGCCCCAGCCTTGGTCAAGCACTCTTGGGGTTCCTTCTGACCTGAGAAAAGTACAGAGCAGCCCCTTCACTGGGGCAGGAAGGTGGGTCCGAGATGGAAGGCAGCCCCCACCCAGAGGACTCTGCCTTGACCCTGGCCTTTGCTCTGGGTGCTGATGGTGGTAGAGGGATGTTGCTGGGCCTGGCCGGGACACCAGCTGGGACTCACGGCCCCACCGTCACTGAGACCCACGAACCTGGGCAGGACACTGGAGGGGGGCCTGGTCGGTCTCCCCTCTCTGCTTCCTCCCCCTCCACGCCCCAAGGACAGTGGAGGGGTCAAAGGAAGCCTTGGAAGAGCGCGACCAGAGCTAAGGGGTCCTTATGGGCCCTTGAAGGTTCACCAGGACAACTGGGCTTCCAGGGAGCAGGGCATGAACTAGAACTTGGGGGGAGGGACGGAGAGAGGGCACCACAGTAGTACTGGGGTTGGCATCTGAGCCTTGGGCAGGAAGCCCGCAGCCGGAGTGAGCGGCCCTCACCTCCAACCTCCTGTCTCAGGCACGCGGCGCGAATCCCTGGAGGGGCGTGTCTCGGGGTGGGCGTGTCCCCGGAGGGGCGTGGTAGGGGAGGGGCTTGGCTGCTTTTGGATTTTTTTCCAGCGAGTCCGTGTCACAGACAGTCAATTCCAGCTATCAAAGCTGTCCTGTCTGCGAGAATGTCTTCGCCAGCTTTGCGGAGGGGAGGCTAACCTGTCGTGGACTTAGCATTTCAGGGGTGGAAATTCCTTCACCTCTGAATTCTCAGATCAGTTCCATCCCTTCCACCCAGGCTCATGTGCCCAAAGGCCCACAGCTCAACCATCTTCAGACTCCAGGAGACGCTGAGAACTCCTCATAGAGGAGGTTTAATATATTCCGAGGATGCAACTAGGAATGCTGGACACTGGGACACAGCAAGGACAGTCCTGAGAGAAAACATTTGCATGCTGATCCCTGGAAACAGGAGGCAGGCAGAGCACGCTGGGCCGGGGACGGGGCGGGCACCGGGGAGGGGCAGTGTTTCCCAGTCGGGCCCAGGTGCCAGAGCATCAGGAGCAAGGGAAGTGAGAAAGCCCCTCCAAGCCTGCGGCCCTGCCCTCTCGGAGCCCCGGTGTGGGAGGCAGGCTGGCGGCTCAGACCCCTTTCCCACTCACTGGGCCAAGCGCAGGAACAGAGGCGGGCTAGGCTGGAGCCTCGGGCTGGACGGTCCGGCTCAGGTCGGGTCCTGCCAGGCACTGTGGGAGGTGGACGCCGGCAGGGCCACTCAGAGCCGTGGCCTGCATGCCCGGCCCAGGGTGCACAGCTGTGCCCTCCTCAGAGCCCGTCCTTGGCCGTCCCAGGAGCGAGATCCTGCCCAGTGTCCTGACTGCTCCCCATGCGAGACCCTGGGGGTCCTCATGGTGACTCAGTGGGCTGGCAGGGGCGGCTACTCGGGTCGCCGTGTACAGGAGCCGGGGTGGCTTGGAGCTTAGAGGAGCTTGGTGGGGCTTGGTGCTTTCCCGGCAGTGGCCCGGCGCGATGGGGCCACGGCGGCGGGAGCCACTGTGCAGTGACTGGCCTTTCCTCTTCTGGGGTCCACTCCCCTCTGCTGCAGGGAGCAACCTGGGATCCCCACTGATCACCTGGGTGTCCCCTCCTCTGCTCCCCAACCTCGTCAGAGCCCCTCAGGGCTGAGTTCCCCTGGAAGCTGGAGGGGGCTCGGGTCTAGTTTTCCACCGCCCAGCGTCGCATCCCTCTGAGCTGGACTCCAGGATGTGAGTCACTGGCTACCAGGTGTCTCCGCTGCAAGCTGAGAGATGAGGGCTGAGCCGATGAGAGGACCCCGGCCTGCCTGCCTGAGGCAGCTTATCCTCTCGGGTTCCTCCTGGGGTGGGGAGGATTTAGGGTGAAAGCATCCATTACGATCTGAATTGTCCCTGGAAACCTCACATATTGAAACCCTAAACCCCAGGCCCTCAGAAGGTGACTGTATTTGGAGATGGGGTCTTTAAAGAGGCGAGTAGGGTAAGATGGGGTCAGTGGGTGGGTCCTCTGCAGACAGGAGTGAAGTCCTTGTGAGAAGAGGCAATCAGGACACACGCAGGCCAAGGGCAGAGGCCTCGGGAGGAACCAGCCCTGCTGGTACTCAGATCTCCGGCTTCTGGCCATGAGAACCCTAAGGCAGCTCAGTTCTGCTGCTTAGGCCCCAGGCAGCCTAGGCTGTTTGTCACGGCAGCCCTAGCGGGCTAGTACACCTCGTAGTGCAGGGGGGCCCTCACCGCCCACAGCTGTCGCCAGGCGTCCCCCCTGGGCCCTGGGTGACGTCACGGCAGGAATCCTGACACCCCCCATCCCGGCTCCCGCCGGCTCAGTGCCCTCCCTGAGAAAGGTGCGCCCTTGGGCCTCTCCAAGGTTTGGGGACACATCTCTTTCCCCCCGGATACTGAGGCCGGGGCAGCCCTTGCTGGGGTGACCTCAGGGTCCTTCTAGACTTGTGACAGTGTTCTTGGGGACTGTCTCGAGATCCATCAAGCAAGTCGAGGCTCCTTGCATGTTTGATGGGGATCACGGAATTGCTCTGCATGCAATGCAGGGGAATAGGGTCTCATCTCGCTTCGAGGGGGAAGTCTCATGGTTTTTCTCGAGTTGCGGCTGGGACCTGGGGTATATTCTCGAGTTACGGCGGGGATGGCCCTTCAAAACTCGTGTTTGTTCAGTGACGTCAGGACTCCTGTCTAGTTACGAGGGCCACCTCAGGAATCTGGGATCAAACAGCCAGGACAGAGGAGGGGTCTCTGGTGCCCCCGTCTTGAAGTCCTTCTGCCCATGTTTACTGGGAAGGAGCTTGGGGGCTCTTCCAGCCCAGCTGGACTCTGGGCTACACTCTGGACTGGACTCTGGGCTGAACCAGGAGGCCCACAGACTTCCGCATCCAGGAGATGCCTCTGTTGCTCAGGGCAGCAGGGACGCCTTGGCATGGCCTTGCCGTGGTTTCTGCGGAGGGAGGCTGACGTGAGAGGTGGGGGGCCGCTCCCGGTTTTTAGCTGCAGATTTATGTAAGTGTGGATTATGGAGTTTGGCCCCGATTCTGCCTCCCTCCCCGCCCCGGAGCATCCTAGGCATCAGTATCTGTTGGCGGGTGGATTTCTGTCGCCTGTCAAGGAGCTGCACTTAATTCTCGGGCAGATGTCTACTTATCTCACTGTGAGGTGGGCCTAGGGCTCAGCCTGGAGGGGGCGGGAGGGAAGGGGTGCGCTCTGAACCTCACCCGTGATTTCTCGGACTTTCAGGGGGCAGCCTCATGCTGGGGCAGCCAGCAGCCTCGCCCAGCCCTGTGACTCCAGGTGGGTCCCTTGGCTTTCTGTTTGTGCGTCCCCATCTGAGGACACAGGGACAGTGGCCTGTCCCGCAGGGTGGGGTCAAGGCTAGCGAGCCTGTCCCCTGGAACCGGCCTGTATCCCCTCTGGTTCAGGAAGACACCAGAGCAGGAAAGTCTGCTCACGCCGCCCTGCTGGGAAGGCCTGGGTCCAAGCCGACTGCCAGCGGGAGGATGGGGAGTGGGCCCAGGCCAGTGGCTTCCTGCCCGGGGCTGGGAGACAGTCGGGGTTTAACAAGCACCGTCCAGGAGGACGTGCCCACCGGCTCTGATCGTGCCCCGAGCCCGCCTTCCGTGGCTGCGCCCAGCCTGACCCGCCCCTGCCGGCGCAGCTCTGCGCCCCCGAGGCCTGAGGTCCTCCAGGGGGAAGCGAGCCCTGCACCCTTGTCTTCTGCCTCCCCCTCCGTCCCCTTCTCCCTCTGGTTACAGAGCCACAAGAACCAGGAAATGAGTTCCGGAAAAATTACCCCTTCATTCCACCACTAATCCCTCCCTCCCTTAATTAAGTCAATGGTAGCCTAAATTGTTCTAAACATCTTTTGGGGGATTATATATTTTAATCATCATTATCCAATGAATATTTGATTATATAGTCATCATATAATCAAGAGTAAAAATTATAATCCAAAAAAAAAAAGACATTTAATGACACTTTAAACGACTGGGCGCTTGATAAAGGGCATTAGAGGATTAGGTGCCCGATGGAGGGGCGGGGTGGGGCGGGGCTCCCCATCAAGGACTCGAACTGCCAGTCTGCTTTGAAAAATAAGATCCTGATTTGAGCAAGAAGGAGAAAGAGCCCAGCCGTTGTGTGTTGCTCGACCACGCCAGCTTCTTGACTAACGAGGCGCCTTATTTGAACAGCTGCTTTGGAAAGGATTTCTATAAATATCATTAGGTTTTGGTGTCCACGGAGTTTTGCAGGAGGCCTTGGTGGGCTCATGAGATTCTGGGAGGTCTTCTGGCCAGCATGTTAGGATTGGCTGCCCCGGTTCCTGACAGTGAGACCCCCTCCCCACCACCTGTAAATCTTAAAGGAGCACCTTGCAGCTTCCCGGGAGCCCCGGGCTGGAGAGCGGGCAGCAGCGTGCTGTCTGAGGCTGTGTGACCTCCGGCAGATAGCTTAACCTCTCTGTGCCTGGGTTCCCACATCTGTAAAGTGGAGAGGATACAAGGACCCTGTAGGTCTGTGGAATATTAAGTGAGACAGTGCTGAGATGTGCGTGGATGACTCCTGGCCCGCGGTCAGCCTTCCACAAACACGAGCTCGATAAATACTTCGAAGGGGACGGAAAGGCTGATCCCTGGGATCTAAAAGCCACCCGGCGTGACTTCCTGGGGCAAGCAGAGGTATCTCCCTGTCAGCCCGCCTTCCTTAGCATCACAGGATTTCACATGGGACTGGCAGGGGTCTTCCAGGTCACCGAGGCCAGTCTTCTCCATTTCAAGAAGGGGACATTGAGGCCGGGAGGTGCGTTGGGCGGTGAATAGGGCCAAAAGCCCACATCTTGAGGCTCCAAGTCAACTGGCTGGCAGGCGTCCCCCAAAAGTGAACTCCCACCCGGGAACTGTTGCTGCTTGATGTTCCAAGGGAGAGTGCCCTGCCGTGTGCCAGCATCAGGGGGCCAGGCCAGGCCAGAGCACCTCCTCCAGGGCCAGCAGGGAGGCTGGCGGGCGGCAGGCAGGTGGCCCCTCGGTCCCTCGCATGGGTGGCGGGTTAGCCGGCTCAGGGTTCGAGATCGGAGGTCGCTCAACAGAGGCAAGTTCCCACCTTCATTCCTCTCCAGGATTTTCTCACGTTTGTCTTTTCTTTTCCTGATAAGCAAACGAATCTATGTGCATTATAAGAAACCTGGAAAGTGAAATATGGAACAATAAAATAGAAAATTACCCACCCTTAACTTTCTGAGCTGCGGATCTGATCTGGTTTAAAATCCTTTGTCTAAAACTCAACTATGGGTTCCTGGTCACCACAGAATAAGGACCAGGCATTCAAGGCCCCTTTACAAAGCATGCTCCAGAGCCCTGTCTGCACCCCCGTCCCATAGGCTGCTGGCCACATCTGCTGCCTAAAGAGCTCTCCCCCTTTTCCTGCCTGCGTGGCAAACTCCTACTCATCCGCCGAGGCCCTGTGCCACTGCCCTCTCCTCTGGGAAGCCCTCCTGATTCCCTCAGGCAGGACCGCTGTTTGTCGCCAGTTCCTGCCTCTACAGACCCACCTGTCTCGGGGCTCAGGCCAGCTCTGCACCAGGCAGGCACGGCTGGCGTTCCACACCTGAAGTTGCCGGATGAGCCCGTCTGATGGGTGAGGACACAGATCCGAGGAAGGGCATCCACTTGTGCGGGTCTGTCTGCTGGACCCCAGGCTGCCCCGGCTCAGGCACCTTCCCGCATGTCCTGAGCGCCGACCGGCATCCTCAGCGCCTGCGACTGTATCTGAGTTCACCTGGCGCCTGCCACGGGGTGGGCCGCGTCCGCCGCCGCCGCGTGAACGTCCCGGGGTCTCTCCCTGCCTGGCCCTCAGCCCCGGCTGCGTCTGGGTCGCCCGGGGCCAGCAGGCCCTCCTGACTCCCCTCCAGCCTCCCCTGCTGGAACCGCTTGAGACGGAGTTACTGCACAGGCGTTGAGCCACTTTTCCCGGCGAAACATCTGTCATTTAACCGGATGACGCGGCGGGGACGGCACTTCAGAACAATCTTGCTGCATTTATTTTTTTCTGAAGTCTGCAGCAGGAGGGGCAAGCTCCTAGGTGCTCCGTGTGCACAAATTGGGCTCCTGCTGTATAAGGAAGCCCTGCCCTAACAGGGGATAGGCCCACCCTCTGAGCAAACACTCCCCGCCCCCCCACCTAGACCTCCCATCCACAGATGGGCTCATTCCCCTTCAGAGCAGCCTGGGGTTGCTGGGGGACCCCTTCCTCCACCCCGCACACCCAGCACCCCAGGACCCAGTGACAAAGGGCCGGCCGGGGGGCAGGGTAGATGGGCACCTCCCCCAGCCGGGGCCTCTGCTCACCCAGTCTTTCTGCCCTGTCCTCCCAGCACCCAGAGCCCCGAGCGCCGCCATTCCACCCGGGGCTGGTCCTCCGGGAGCCGCCTGCCCTTCCCGCTCTGGGGTGAAGATCTTGTCTGGGTGTCTGTCCCGAGTCCGGGGGCGACAGCGAACCCACGTTCAGGGACGCCAGCACGTTTACAAGTCCTTTCCAGGCCCCCGTCCCAGCTCCCAGAGACCAGTAGGGGAGGAAGCAGAGACTCAGGGAGGTTCAGACCCTTGCGGCGGACACACAGCTGGCGGGGGGTGAGGGCAGGGGCCCCTAACTCTGCGGCTGGACCTTCCTGCTCTGCCTTTCCTGGGGGCTGACAGCCAGGTGCCGAGGGCCCTTCACAGGCCGTGGGGGGCAGGCGGGGCCACACCAGGCTGCAGGGCGAGGGGTCTCTGGGCCAGGCCCCAGCCCCCTCCATCTTACCTCTGACTCAGGGCAACTCAGCTCCCTGAGAGCCGCCAGCCCCGGGACCGTTGGATGGGGACGGGCCAGGGTGGCAGAGAGAAAGGGGGAGAGGCCGCCCCCCCCCCCCCGCCCCTGCCTCTCAGCCGGGCTGCCGGGGACCCCGCAGGCCTTGCTGTCCACCTGCGACCCCGAGGAGCACCCCCACTCTGGCTCTGGTGAGGCTGAGCCCTCGCAGGGACCCTGGACCAGTGCCTCCCGTTCTGGGGAGAGGAGCCCAAGGATTCAACTCCCGGGAGCCACAGGCCACTCCGCAGCGTCCTCTGCAGGGAGTTCCCGGCTCTGCCTGCCTTGGCCACAGAAAACCCGCAAGTGCTGCCAGTCTGAGAGACACAGGCTCGATCCCTGGGTTGGGAAGATCCCCTGGAGGAGAGCAGTGCAACCCACTCTAGCGTTCTTGCTGGAGAATCCCGTGGGCAGAGGAGCCTGGCGGGCTACTGTCCATAGAGTCGCAAAGAGTCAGACGCGACTGAGCGACTTAGCACGCGTGCACGCATGCTACCGTTCTGGGCTTCTCTCTCTCACCCCCTGCCCCACCCCCCCACCTGCCACAAGCTCTCCACTGCACCCTGGCCACCACCCGGCTGCCCAGTCCTGAGTCCTTTGTGGCCTGTCCGTCTCCCAGCCCTGAGAGTTAGCTCGGGGTCCCCAACCCCATCCACAGTGAGCCCTGAGGCTCCAGGCCTGGAGTCTGCAGGCTTACCTGAGCCTGCCTGGGTCAGACACTGGGGCCCTGGAGTCACAGCCATGGACATGGGGCCGTGGAGGCTGGGGGTTGCTGTGGGCTCCCAGACAGCCTGTGACGGGGGTGCCTGCACATTGGGGGCAGTGGAGAGACATATGTGAGGGCTCGGCTCACGTGCCAACCATGGGGCTCGTTGTGGAAGGAACTCCCTCCCTCCTGGCTTCACCACTGCCTCTCACGGGTCAGGGGTTGGAGTTAAGTCCTGCCCTGATCAGAGCCTCAGGGTCCCCAGCTTGTCTTTCCTGCGTGTGGAGGCACAGCTCAGGTCCACTGCCCCATGCTGGGGAAGACCCCTCTCCCCACCCCTGGGGCTCTTGGACCCCAGACTGTGCTGGACCAGCCCGGGCCGGTCCGGTGGCCCCGGCCCCAGACCCCGCCTCTCAGGTCTTGCCAGGGGGCAAGACACTGCCATGGGCGGAAGGGAAGGGGCGGGGTGTGTGCCGGGGACCCCCGACCTCACCTGGACGCCACCTGGACGCACCCACCGCGCCCTCTGCAGGCTCCAGCTTGAGAGCCCCTCCTGGCGTCACCCGGCCTGGGCCTTGTTCCCAAGAAGCGTTTGCTGCACCGGGCAGGGAGTAGGGGGTTAAGGCAGGAAGAGCGCCGGGTGTAGGCCCCCGGGAGCTTTAACCCTCCTACACCTTCTCTGGCCGAAGAGCTGGGCTTCCTGGGCGGGGGCCTCCTCACCTCGCCCAGGTGGGGGCCTCGGGAAGCCCGGCTGAAGGCTGGGACAGAGAGATGAGCCCACTTGGAGTCTGCTGGGCGGCTCCACCTGGACGCCTCCACCTGGAGGGGCAGGTCGGGGCGCAGGAGAGCGCGGTTGGCCCCGGGGAGCTGGCCTCCTTGCCCGTCTCTGACCTGGCGGCAGCAGGCGGGCGCGTGATGGATGCAGCGCGTGCGGGAGCCACGCGGGCAAGCTGTTTTCCTCCCAGCCGCTTATGTTTGATTGGAAGGATCGGTTTCAGCCTGGCTGAGCCGGCCCGGAGTCCAGGCACCTCCCCGGCCCCGTCTCCCATCAAACGGCATGAATAATTTAGTCTCTAATTAAAAGTGAGGTCAAGACATGAAAAATGGCTGGCCGTCCGGTGGCATGGTGATGCATTAAATCGCTGGCAGATCTGAGGCGAGCGAGTGGGCAGGGGGCTGCGGTTTACACACCAAACCGTCCAGGCCTTGGCTCCTGCAGGCAGCAGGGTCCGCCCTGAAGGCGGGTCCTTGAGTGAGACAGAGGCGGTGGGCGGCTGGGCCGCCCCCAGCCCCAGGGTCAGCCCCGCCTGCTCCCCTGTCCCCGGAGGGGCCCTCCAGCCCCTGCCTGCATTCCCCCAGCACACCAGCTCCCCCCGCTGCAGGTCTGTGTGTGTTCTTTCTGGAACATTCTTCCCCCACTCACCTGTCTGCTGGGCTGGCTGCTCACCCCACTGGGGCCTCAGGTCAGACACCACGTGGCCTGACCCTCTGCCCACCGCTCCCCCGGCCTGCTCACTCTGTGCCCGCTGCCTGCCCCAGTTTCCCGGCGTGTCCTTGAGAGCCAGCCGATGACTCACCGTTGTCTGTGTCTCCAGCCTAGAACGTCTGGGCAGGGCCATTGCCTGGGTCTCCAGGGGCCCCAGTGCTAAGGACGCTGGTCGCCTGGGGGCAGGGGGTCACGGCGGGCTCGCTCTCCCTTCCCTCCTGCTCAGCAGAGGCCTGTGGGACGTCCGACGCTGTGCACGTGGCAACCCACCCCGCGCCCTGCCCGGGACAGCGAGAGGCTTTTCCACCTGGCCACAGGCCGCACCACGACCGCGGGGAGCAGAGCCCTGCCTGCAGGCGGCCACGTTTCCGGACGCTCAAGCACAAGGGAACGACTGACAGCTGGGCGGCCCGCCAGCTGGGGACCAGGGCGGAGGGCAGGTGCTTTGAGGGGCCCTAGATCTGGCAGCCCTGTGCCCTCCTTGGGAGGACAGCAGACCCAGCCATCAACCCCGGGGGCGTCGCTCTGTCCTGTCCCAGCCGGCCAGGTCCACCTTGGGGGACGCTCCCCCGCCAGGCTGGGGAGTTCTCACGGAGGGGAGCAGGGGTATGAATCACTCACTGGCCCCTCCCCGACTCGTGGGAGCACCAGGAACATGCCCACTTTCCAGAGGGGAAAACCAAGGCCCAGAGTGGTTGGCTTCCTTGCTCAAGGGCCCCCAGCCAGTCGGCGGCCAGTGGCTGATGTGGGCACGGGTGGCCCCTGCCTAGTGGCCGTGGGGGTGTGAGCGGTGATGGCCCCGCTGGGCCTTGGGAACCCTTTCTGCAGAACAGGGAAGCCACAGCTCTGGCCGGAGCCCCCAGCCCCAGAGATCCCAGAGTCCAGGGCAGTGATTCACGCAGACGCGCCTCCCACCTCGCCCCACCCCCCGGGCTGGAGGCTGGGGGCTTGGGGGGCACAGATCGGCCCTAGAGCAGGGACCAGGCCACGACCCCCATCCCAGGGGGTAAGTGGCATGCCCCTGCTGTGCCACCAGGCAGCCCAGCGCCCTTCGGGCCTCCAGCAGCGCCGGCTCCCCGGCTGGATCCTAGTTTATCTTTTCAGAGTGGAACTGGTGAGGGGTGGGGGCACCGTTGGCCCTCGGGTAGCAGATTAAAGATGGATATTTTGTTTGTTACAATCAAGACCTCTGATTTCAGTTTTATAAATTTTTAAAATATTAATTATATTTTGGAAAGAGCACCGAGGTGAATGCATTAGCCGCTGCTCCCCGCTTAGATGGCAGCTCCGCTGTTTGGCCCAGATTAGCTGCTGAGGAGGAGGTTGGGGCATTTTAATCCACCTTGTTAAGTTATTAAATTTTCTTTATTTACATACGGATCCCACTTTCATTAGCATTGTAACAGGTACTCATTAACAATTTATCATTTGGGAGGTGGAGGGAGACAACAGCAAGAGAGACATTGCTACAAAGTTTACTCTTAATTACAAGGAAGCGGCTTTGAGGGCAAAACAAGGCTGCCACCCGCCCCCTCCCCCGCACCCCACTCTGGTGGCCCAGAGCCTTCCAGAAGCTCCAGGTCTGCTCGCCCTGGTCAGTCTGAACTCCCAGAGGAGCAGCCTGCTCTGGGAGCTCGGTCTGTGCCCGGGGGCAGGGGCTTGACCCCTGGCTGTGGCCTCCCGGGCCCCTGAGGCCTGGAAGAAGCTGGGCCCAGACCCAGCCAGGGCTCCCGGCTCCCGCCGGCAGCGACTTCGCCTCTAGAAGCCTCCCTGGCCTCCCCTCTGGGGTCTAAGCCGTGGGAGAGCCGTTCACAGGCTCACCTGTGGTGCGTGACTGCCCACGTGGCCAGGGCAGGTGGGAGGGTCCTGGAGAGGGGCTGGGCCCCGCCCCGCCCCCCGGGGAGCTGGGGGTGCAGGCCCTCTGCAAAGGGAGGTAGTAGTCCTCTCGCCCTTCCCAGACCCCCTTAGGGGGGTCAAGGGAGGCGGGCGCGTGAGCCCGGGTGTGGTGTGGGGGCCCGAGGGGGCTCCGCCCGTGGCTGCCTGGCTGTGGGTCCAGCTCTCCTGAGCGCCCCCTGGGGACACCCTGGAGGACCCCCGTCAGCAGGCTGGTTTTGGGGCCATCAGACTCCCACCAGCACAACTGACAATGCGTCTTAAAGCAGGGACCCACATCTTTCTCAGGGTGCTTGATGTGGGGGCACCGTGTGTGCCCCTCCTGCTGCCCCGTCCTCCGCAGCTGCCCGGTGCTGGGTGGGGGTGTCTAGAGGGAGGTGACCGTGCACAGCTCGTGGCCAGTCCTGCCGGAGGCCAGGCCAGGCGTAGGTGGGCTGCAGTGGGAGGCCCCACCATCAGGGGCCAGCACAAGAGGAGGTGGGTGCTGGCGGGGGCGTCTGGGAGAGCCCACCCCCCCCGGGGGTCCAGGCCTGGGCTCTCCCCATCCGCTCTGCCCCCAGGGGCTGGCGCGAGGGAGCAGGAGCCGGTGTGGCTGGCTGACCCTGGTCCGCCTCCTCCCTGCAGAGGGTCCGGTGCGGGTTCGCCCTCGTCCTGAGCAGTGACGTGGCTGTGCCCATCCTGGGCGAGAGGTGGCTGGTGCCTCCCGCCAGGTGTGATGCGAGATGCCCACCCACCCCTGCCGATTTCCCAGAGTCTGCCCTCACCTGGGGCGGGGGCTTCTGCAAGCGGGCAGCCCAGACTCTCCAGCCCCCTAGATAATCGCCCTCATAATCGCCTTCCTTCACACTGCTCCTTTAAAACATATTTCCAGGGTGTTTTTCACGGATAGGGCTTTTAATATTCATCTCAGTGCTGACAATTTTTCCTGCCTTGTTACGGGAGCCAGTGTCGGTTTTTCTTTGTATCTCTGGACAGTCAGTTTATTCGGAGCCACTTAAAGGCTCAAAAGTGATTCTCTTTTATAATTTGAGAAGTTTCATGGGCTGAACATCAAAGTGATTGCGCAGCCCGTTTCCCCGCTTCCTGCGCTCCATCCCCCGCCTGCCCTCGACGGTCTGGCCGCTCTGCTGTGTTACGAGCGCCAGTCTCAGGGCTCCCCAGCCCGGCCAAACCCCGGCTTTGTCCTGGAGCAGGGGTGTGTTCAGTGTGGAGTCCCGGATGTGGCGCGGACAGGGGAGCGGCTCTCAGCTCAGAGCCTCAAGCTGAGCCGGCCACTCGCTATCCCATCTCCAGCCCTGCAGGGCCTCGGTTTTCTCATCTTTAAAATGGGGCCATTGGTCACATGCCCGCGGGGATCAGGCTGGCCGAGGAGCGGGCCTGCTGGGTGCATCGGCCTGAGGAGGGAGCCGTCCACGCAGCAGTGCTGAGCAAGCACCTGCTGGTCCAGGGCTTGGGAGCAGCAGGGACCAGACAGGCCCAGATCCCCGCTCTGCGCTTCACTCCCACGGACGGCACAGCTTTTGGTGGCAGAGGGGCACGGGGCCGGCGGGATGGGGTGGCGGCCTGGGAGCAGCTCTGAGGTGAGAAGCTGCCCTTGGTGGCCCTCACCTCCCGGTGGCCCTCACCTCCCAATGGCTCAGATGGTAAGGAATCTGCCTGCGATGAAGGAGACCCGGGTTCGATCCCTGGGTCAGGAGGATCCCCTGGAGAAGAGAATGGCTACTGTCTCCAATATTCTTGTCTGGGAAATCCCGGGGACAGAGCAGCCTGGAGGGGTGTAGTCCATGGGGTCACAGAGTCAGACACGACTGGGCAAATAACACTTTCACCTCCATCTGGGGGCCGCCCCAGGTCACCCGGCAGCTAAGTGTCAGGGCTGGGGCAGGACTTGCCACAGGGACATCCCGATTCCCTCCCGGTCCTCGGGGGCTGGCAGCAGGTAGCCGACAGCCCGCCCGGCCCTGCCCAGCCCTGATCCCCTCGCCTCTGCTGGACAGGGCTCCAGTGGAGGCGGTGGTGTTGCCAAGCCAAGGCTCACTGTTGCCAGAGGTTCGGGCTTTCAAGAGAAGCCGGACGTCTAGGTTAGCTTACGAGGTCTCCTGATGTCCAAATGTTGGCAACTATTTCAAAAATTAAAAACAAACAAACACACGGACAAAATATCTGTCATCCAGATCCAACCTGTAGGCTCAGTCTGCAAGCTCCGGTCTCGACAAAGAAATTGTTTCTGTGAGCGAGCGTCTGTGGACGTCGTTAAGCACAGATCTGTTTGACGAGCACGTGCCTGCTGCTGTCATTGGTCGCATCAGCCGGCCTCGCTGTGACGACGTTCGTTTCCACCAGGAGGGCTCGGAGGCAGGGAGGCGCTGAGACTGTCCTGCCTGGGTCCCTCCCCGCTGGCGTCTCCCTGCTGCCACCCTGCATTCCCGGGGACCATGCCCCTCATGCCTGCTGCCCCGACTCCTCCGCAGGCTGCCACCAGCACTGCAGCGGTTTTACAGTGTTAGCACTTTCAGCTGCAGCAAGATAGGTGGGCACAGTTACCCGGTTCCCAGACGGGGCACATGCGGCCAACCTCAGCAGAGGCCCCACGAGCCTCCCCAGACGGCGCGCAGAGCCGCCCCCTGGCCTCCACTTCGGGATGGGGCCTCCTGCTCCCCGCAGACAGGCAGGGGAGTGTCTCACGAGTTACCGTGTTTTTACTTATAACAGAGGAAGAAATAAAAATACACATTCGGGTAGCGTGTTGCTGTTCCGAAGGGGTCTGGAGGCCTGGGGAGAGACCTGAGCTTTGGTATAAATTCAGAGCCAAAATTAAGGCCAGGCCGGGGCTGTGGCTGGTGGTTCCACAGCCTGGTGGACCACCACATCGCAGCCATACGTGGCTGGCAGGGCTGGGCCCCGTTTAGAGGTGACTTTGGCAGGTCTGGTCCTCAGTACGTCCGACCTGTGCAGTGGAATCACCTGCTTTCTGATGTTCAGGGGTCACCTGTGGGGTGCCATCCCCGGAGGCTGGAGACCCCTGGGGCAGCTGGTGAGACCCGGGGACCCTGGCTCCCGAGAAGTGACCAGTGTCATTTTGGGAGGTCAGTGCGTTCTCGAGGTCCCGGGTGTGACGCAGTCTCCCACGAGGATGCCCGGGGACTCTAGGACTTCATCTGCTGGCCACGGCCGTTACCTGGCTGCACCCATCCTGTGGAGGCACAGCTGAGGCTTCCCGGGGAGAGGGCTTGAATGAGGCCCCAAGGCTTCAGGGTGTGGACAGCGTTCCTGCCTCTGGCCGCCCGGAGTTCCGGCAGCCTAGGCCCTGAGGCTGGTCAGCCGGCCTGCGGGTGCTGTGGGGAAACTCAGGACCGCCGGCCTTTCTTGCCGGCTTTGCTGGGACTTGAGGGATTGCTGGAGGGTTTGGAGGAGCCTGCCAGGTACTGGGGCTTCCCAGGCAGCTCAGGCGGTAAAGAACCCACCTGCAATGCAGGAGACATGAGACGCAGGTTCGATCCCTGGGTTGGGAAGATCCCCTGGAGAAGGAAATGACACCGCCCTCCAATATTCTTATTGGGAAATCTCGTGGACAGGCTCACTGAGAGCAACTGGGCATGCATGCAGCACGCACGCCTGGGTCCTGACCAAGCCGGCAGGCTCTGCCCCCCAGGGGAGGCACCAGCAGGGACACGCCAGGCCCCTGGCCACAGCACCCCCGGCCCTGCCAGCCCAGCAGACGGAGGCAGAGGGGGCCTTACGGCCCCCATTTACAGATGAAGAAACTGAGGCTCAGGAAGTGCAGGGAACACAGACCCTGTGAGATCTTGGGAGAAACCCTCCCGTCAGAGCGGCCTGCACGTGCCCAGGCCCTGGGGCTGGCCCGGACCTGGGGTGGACAGCGCGCGGGAGGTCCACGTGCCTGGAGGGTGGCGGGAAGGGGTGGTGGGAGTGTGGCTGGGGGGTCACATTCTGTGGGGTCTGGGGCTCCTCCCCGGGTGGTGGGAAGCTGCTAGAGGACTTACAGCAGGGTTGATACGTGGCCTGGGGCCCCCAGGGGTTCTGACCGGAGCCGAGAATTGAACGCAGAGCATAGAGGGGAGACGGGCCCAGGGGCTCCCAGCTGCGGCCTCCTGGGGTACATACGGTGTGTTCCCTCTCCCCGAGGCCCTGGCGAGTGGTCACTGTGTCCCTGTGTGAGGGAGAGCCAACTGGGGCGCTTTTCAGGACTAGCTCAAGACTGGGGCTCAAGACTGGGGTTCTGGAGGGTGGTTTCTCCCCACGGTTGAGGCTCTGGTGTAGCCGGGCACCCAGCCCTGTCCCTTCTGGCTCATTCGCCATCTCTGGATCCTGGCTCTCAGGCTCTGGGAGGCTCCGGATCACCTGGGTCCTGCAGGGAGACTCTCCCCGGAGCCACCGAAGGGCGCCCCCAAGAGCAGGCCCCCGAGCTGGCTGGGCTCCAGCTGGCCAGGGTCCAGCCCAGGAGGCTGGTGCCCCCTCCCTCCCAGCCCTGCCCGGAGAGGGCCCAGGCAGGGGGTGGGGCACCTAAACTAGCGGGGTGAGTGGAGTGGTGGGCCCCAAGCCCAGCGCAGGGCTTCAAGAGGGTTCCCATCTACCCAGAGGAGGCTGTGGGTGATCCCAGGGGGCTCCTGGTGTGGCTTGGCGTGTCGCTGGAGCAGGCACAGGGGAGTGTGCTGGTTCCCTGGTGACCCTGGTGAGAAGGGCCTTCCTTCTGGGAGCCCCTGATTCTCAGGAGGAAAGCTGGGCTTCAGGGGGGCGGCTGGTGGGGCTCCACCCAAGGGCGGTCAGCGTGGGCTCTCCTCCTCGCTGCCTTGCTCCCTTCTCGCGCACTCCTCCAGGCAGCAAAGAGGGCGTGGGTGCTGGGGTACCCGGGGGCCAGGAGCAGCCCAGTTTGAGGGTGACAGGGAGGAGCTCTCACTGGGGAGATGGCTGGCAGGGCAGGACAGGCGCAGTGCTGCGGCTGGAGCACAGGGCTGCGTCTCGGGGTCAGGGAGGGACCGGGCAGCCTGGAGAGTCTGAGACCCTGGTGGCAGGTCCTGGGGAAGGCAGCCTGGCTGCAGGGCCCTCGGGTCGCTCCTGCCTGCTTTACAGTGGGGAGACCGAGGCTGAGAGGGTGGCTGTGACTGGCCGGGGCCCTTCCCGCCTTTCCCTCGCCGGCACCAGGCCCTGAGCCGCCGTCTGTAGAAGCCTCCGTCGCCCGCAGGCCCCTCTCCGGCCGCGCCAGCCCGTGCTAGCTGCCCGCCGGGGCCGCGGGGGACGTGGCAGGCCGCCTTGATTGTGTCGATGGGAGATGATTTTCAAGGTGAAATTTCTAGTTCAGTTGAGTCACTTTCGTTCAAGGCAGCGCACAAAATGTCACCCCGCCCTGCTCCGCGCACGGTGCTGCTCTGCCCTCCCGTTGCATTTAAATTTACTTCACTTTCCCTCCCTGACACCTGTTTAAATCAATATCTTCCTCTCCAGGTCGCGGGGAGAATGTGCCCAGCTCTCCACACAGCGCTTCTCAAATCCACTAAAATCAACACAATAATTGAAATATTTTCAAGCTGATTACACCGCAGCCCGAGGCGAGCCTGGTTGCTAAGGGTGAGCTCCGCGGTTGCTAGGGGGAGTAAATCATCTTGCATTATTTGATTTTTGTTATAGATATGAAACCGCTACTCCCGCGATTAAATGTCTCTCAGCCTAACACCTATGGGACCTGGGGAGAGAGAAGAGAAAGGCACCAACCTTGACCCTGTCAAATAAATATCTCTAACTTTTCCTGTCCTCGGGCCTCCCAGCCAAACCTGTCTGTGGGTTTTTTTTCTTCCCTTAACCTGACTTTAAATAACAAAGCTGTGGGGACCCGGAGATGAAGAGCAGGAGGCTGTCTGTTCTGTTAACCGCGCGGACCCGCCATCCTTCCAGCCCACTCCCCTCTGGCCCGCGGCTCGGGCTGGCTCGGGTGGGCTTGGAGGGCCAAGCTTTCCAGTGGGGCTTCCTGCAGACAGTGGGTGGGGAGCTAAGGCCTGCCCGCCCCCACCCACCTTCCATCCTCTTCTCTACAGGATCTGACCCTGGTTTTGACCCCGGCTTCCCCAGTGGCTCAGTGGTAAAGAACCCGCCTGCAGGCAGGAGCCACAGGAGATGTGGGTTTGATCCTTGGGTCGGGAAGATCCCCTGGGGGAGGGCATGGCAACCCGCTCCAGTGTTCCTGCGTGGAGAATCCCACGGACAGAGGAGCCTGGCGGGCTGCAGTCCACGGGGTCACAAAGAGTCGGACACGACTGGAGTGACGCAGCATGCCCACACCTTCCTCATGCACTGGCTTTGGCCGGGGGGCCTGGAGGCGAGGCCGAGGTCAGCAGGTCCAGGATGTGGGGACCACAGCGCACAGGTCGCTCTCCCTCTGAGCCCGGGACGGTGCAGAGCTCCCGCTGCTGGAGGCTGCTGTGGGCGTCCTCACCTGCTCCCGCTCTTCTGGCTCAGCCCAGGGACATGCGCCCCACACCCCTCCTGCCCTTCTCCGAGCTGTCAGGCAGCCCTCCCAGCCTACCCCGGCCAGAACCCTCAGGAAAGTGGGGGAGTCCCTGTCCGGCCGATGCTGCACCCGCCCCAAGTCTGCCGTTGGTGGCAGGGGGCCGGCGAGGCTGCCCTGCTGGGGGCCTGCCCACTGTCCCCGTGGATGCGCCTTAGGGAGCTAACAGCCAGCACACACGCCTGTTGGTGGGATTGTTCGCGGGGACTCTGAGTGCTGGGCCGGCTGGGCTGGGCGGGGCCTGGCCTCTGCCCGGGGAGCTGGGGGCCGTCCCAGGTGGCAACACTGGTCCTCTGCCTGCCCTGGGGAGGCCAGATCTGGCTGCAAAGCACTGATGCCCCCGGAGTGCCCCCAGCTCTGCAGGGCAGCACCTGTGTCTCAGTGCCCACTGCCCAGCACCCCCAACCCCTCAGGGCCCCCCAAGCCCTGCTCACCGTCCCTGAGGGCCTGGCTCTTCCGGGCTCAGTCTGGTCACTTATTAGAGGTCCTCGCTGACCACTGCAGCCACCCTCAGGCCACCCGCCCTCCTGCACCCGGGATCCGAGTGCTTCCTCCTGAGTGTTTGGCGCCCGACGGGTAGTCCTCTCAGCCCCAGGGAGGCCGTCAGCCACCCACTCACTGTTGCGCAGAGGCTGGCGTCAAGCCTGGCCTCCTGGGCCCCCCAGCTGGACAGCAGAGTGGAAGCTGACCCCGGCTGGGGTGCCCAGGACCACAGCACTGACCAGGGTGCTCACCCCTCCCGCCAGGTGGACCTGGCCTCACCAGATTCCCCGTGCACTCTCACTGGGTCGAGTGGTGAGAATGGCTCCCTGGCCAGCGGGTGAGAAAGGCTATGGTAGGGAGCAGCCGTGAGCAGGGCCGCGGTGGCCTTGGTGGGGCCGTGGGGTCTATGGAACTGTCCTTGGGAAATCCAGGCTGGGCCAGGCCAGCCAGACCTTGGGGAGGACACGTGGAGGCCTTGTACGTGCCCACCATTCACCTTGTCAGCTAACCTCTTGAGTGGCCCCCGTTTACAGATGAGGAAACAGATTCAGGAAGGTTCACCCTCCGCCTGAGGGTGAGCAGGGCTGAGGTTGGGGAGGGGCAGGCTTTGCGGCAGTGGGCTCTGGAGCCCTTCCCTGGCCCCGGGCCTTGGATGTCTGAGGCCTTGGAGAGAGCCTGGAGGAGTCCCCAGGCAGACGTGGAGGCCCGCCTGGACGCCTGGGTCTGGGGCTGCAGCCCCCCTGACCCCCGCATCAGAGCACACTCAGGCATGCCTGCGCCCCCATCAGAGCCCACGGTGACCCAGAGAGGCATATCCCACCCATCCCCCAGATGAGTGTCTGGGGCCAGGGAGGCGGCCGGGGAGGCAGCCTGCCCGGCGGGCAGAGGGGGTGTAGCGGAGTCCGCATCTGGGCCCCCCTGTTCTCCCCACTTCTCCCCCGCCCGCCAGGGTCCCTTGCACCAGGAGGTCAGGAGTGACCGGCCGCCTGGGGACCTGGCCTCTGTCACCCTCCCCCTTGGGTGGGGGGTGGCAGGGGCCTCACGTTCCTCCACCAAGTGCCCTTGGGTGAAGGTCCCATGGCCTCAGCCTCCTCGTGAAGGACAGGCATGCGGTCAAGGGAGGGGCCAGCATGTGGTGGCCTCGGCCATGGCGCGTCGCTCTGACTCCGAGGCAGGGCGCAGGCTCTGTGCCCTTCGAGGGCCTCTGTCCAAGGCTGTCACACCCTCCTTGAGCAGTGACCTTGTGCTGTGACCTCTGCTTGGGGTGCTCTGTCCCCATCTCTCAGCCCCCGAACTCCTACTCATCCGTCAAGGCCCGCCCTGTTGCCTCCTCCTCTGGAAGCCGTTTCCTTTCCTGAAGCCGGTGGGCGTGCTTCCATGACAGCACAGGTTATGGTTCAGGCCCTGCACATCCTTAAGGGCAGGGAGCTTGTCTGACCCCATGTGTGTCCCGAGCCCAGGGCTGGCTTTGGCGAAGTTTTGCCAGAAGCATCCATAGGCACGAGCACCCTCTCTGGTTCATCTGGCTCAGCCCTGGGCCCAAGGTGACCTCTCTGTCACCTGGTCCGGCTGCTCCAGCTCGGGGGGGGGGGGTGCCCAGCAACCCAGATGGCCCTGGGGTGGGCTGGGGGTGGGCTCCTCTGCTGCAGCTGAGGTCAGGGAACATTGGGGGCTTGACCAGAGGGCACCTGAACTCCGCAAGGAGACCTCAGATGTGACAGCCACAGGGAGTCCTGACCTCCGCAGACACCCAGGTCCGGGGGCGCCTTTCAGGGGTGAGTGTGTCCCAGACCATCTGAGGCCTGGGGCTCGGGCGGGGCAGAGGGGACCCCCGGACGACTGGAGTCCTACCTGGAGGCCCAGGCCCCGGGTGTTGGGAGGGGGCGGGCAGGGGTAGTGTCAGAAGAGTGGTGAGATGCCAATAGGCCTGGCCTCCAGGAGGAGCCCGGGGCCCTGGCGGTAAGCAGCCAGCGTGTTGTCCCCTGGGAGGGGGCGCCAGAGAGAACCCTGCCCCTCCAACCCAGATGCCCCTGTGCCTGGCTCTCCCCCTTCTCGGGGCAGCTGAGGGTCCAGCCCCTTCCCTCCAGCGCCGATCCACCCCCACCCCACGGGCGCTCCGTGCTTTCCAGAACCCTCTGGCCACCCTGACTCTGGCCCTGGAGGATCGGCTCCCAGTGCCCACCACCCCCCCACCCCCCACCGTGGCCCGCAGGAAGCCCCTGTGTTTACCAGGCTGCCCCTCCTGCCCCGCCCGGCCACCGGCACCCTCCCCGGCCGATCGGCGGAGCCATCTGCCACCAGAGCGGCGGGTCTCCGGCAGAAGCCGCGGCGACAAGCTGGGGATGTCAGCGCAGTTATCAGCAGAAAGCAACATCTGCCTCCCTGCCGTCGACAGGCAGGCCAGTTAGCCGTCCTGCTCCTCCCTTTAGTGCAGACAACAGCTCCCTGTATTATATTTTCTCACTCAATTAGCACTATCATCCTGCTGAAATGGAGGCCAATTTACCTATAATGACATCATTGTTAGGGAGGCACGGGCGGGGCTGCCCCGGGTCGTGGAGACAGGTCCGTCTCTCTCCACTAACCCTGCCGGGCCGGCCGGCCGGGCGGGAAGGCGCGGGGCGCCCAGGCGGCCTATCGGCGGCCAGCCCGTCACCTCCGACCACAGACATTGTTTCCGACGGTTCTCAGGAGCAGCGTGGCGGAAAATTGAGTCCAGATTCATTAGGTTTTTCAGTGTGCTGCTCAAGTCAGTTAAATTGATACATTTCCTAACGAAATTGAAGTGCTTTGTGCTGGCAGCGGAAAGCCGGGTGACCGGCCTCGGCCCGCTGAGCAGCGGAACGAGCTGACGGATCCATTAGGCCGCCGGGGCGCCGGCCCCCTCTCCCTCCGCTCCCGGCCCGCGCTGTAAATCTCCGCCAATTTCGGGCCTAATCATCATTATAAACCCTTCCCCTGCCCGCTCCCTCGCCTGCCCATCCGCCCCTCACTCACAAAACAGCCCACGATGTGCTAATCGGGCCGGCCTGCAGGGTCAGCGTCCCCGCCGCTCTGGGGGCCTGGGGGGCTGGGGACCCGAGGTGCGCGGACCCCAGGTTGGAGGCAGGGTGGGCTCGAGGGGCGGCAGAGGGTCCCAGGAGTGGACAGCGGGCTCATTCGACAGGTGGGGAAGCTGAGGGCGGAGGACGAAGCCTACAGCGTCAGGGCTCGGGGGACCCTGGACGCCTCTGCCTCCAGCTGGACTCTGGCTTCTCTAAGTTGAGGTCCACATGGAAAGTCCACAGATGTCCTGAGATCGCAGCGACTGGTGTTCACGAGGTAGTTCTCGCGCCCATGGAGCCCCCCAGCTGGTGGGCCGGGACACTGCAGTCCCCCCTCCCGCCCAGGGCACCCCAGCAGGGTAACCGCTGCTCTGATTTTATCACATTGATTTTGCCAGATTTTGAGCTTCACGGAAGTGGGATTGTAGAACGTATCCGTTGTGTGTCTGGGTTTTTGGGCCGATTCGCCTGTGCCCGGCCCTTCTTCATTGCTGTGTAGTATTCCGCGGCAGGCTCCAGCTGCCACTGTCACGGCCGGCCTCGGGCTATGTCGGTTGATCTCTCGAGAACGTGTCTCTCACATGACTTTGGTGCCCTGAGCGCTTAGCTCTCAAATCCTCTGCCCATGTCCCTCCTCCCCCATCCATTCCTCGTTCACAGAGTGAGTTTGGAAAAGCAGCTGAGGGTTGTCCTTCCCTGCTCCCCTCCCCCCTCCCCCTTCCCCCCTCCCCCTTCCCCCCTCCCCTCCCCTCCTCTCCTCCATCCCCCTACCACCCTCCCTCCATCTCCCTCCCCTCTCCTCCCCCACCCCGCCCAGAGGGAAAGTGGCCTGGTGATATCAGGGTCCCTGTGAGGAGGGCGTCCAAGAGGCAGGAACTGGCCGCGTTGTTGGGACAGTGGGACCGGGCGTCTCGTTTCCAAACCAGGGCCACACAAGGCAGACAGACAGCTGGTCCTAGCTCCACTTGTCAGGTTGGAGTCGGCTTGGCTGCAGGCAGACGGACGAAGAATCACAGAAGCGCCGCGCAGCACGCCACACTCCACCCGTCGCCTGCGGGAGGCCTGGAGCAGCAGCGTCTCTGCGGCTCTGAGCACACTTCCTGCCTGGCTCTTGGTTCCTCCACACCAGCCTCTACTTGGCCGAGGCCGGGGCTGGGGCAGCAGTGAGGCTGAGTCAGGCATGTCTGTTCAGAAAGTAGGGAACCTGGGAGCCAGCCCCAAGGGGCGCCCGCGGGTCAGACAGGCTAATTCAAGCATCAAATAAGTAACAAGGCTCTAACCCATGGAGTGAAACAGAAACCAGGCGTCCGCAGCAATGCAGATAAACAGATAATCACAAGGGGAGGAGGGAGGAGGCGTTTGAAAGGGGCCATTTGTCAACCTTCACAGTGACCATCGATTCTGGCAAGAGCCGGCGGCGGGTGTTAAAGTGGTGGGTGGTGTTGGGTAAGGAGTGTGATTTTACATAGTTTCAAAGCATCTCCCCAGCAGGTCGTGTTCGTTGAACATGGGAGAGAAGGGGAGACTGGGGTCACGGCTGGAAACCCAGCTAACCACAGTGAGCCTCACTAAGGCCGGGAAGACCCCTGTGTGCCCTCCTGTGACAGCATCACCTTCCTGCCAGAACGCCCATCCCAAGTCTCATCATGAGGAAACTCCATTCAACCCAGATGGAGCGGCCTCCTGGGAAACGACGGGCCTGCCGCCTCCACGGGGGTTGAAGTCGCGAGCGTTGAGGAGAACTCAGGAGACAAGGGCCCGGCAGCTGGCTGCAGCGCGGGTTCCTTCATTCTGAGGCTGATGGATACAACCTGAATCTTCCGGGCCAGCCCGTGTGCGACTCTTGTGATCTCCCTCTAAATTTGACATTCTCCCCAAGTGAAAATGTTAAAGATAAAAAGCTATAGAACTCGTGCCACTCAGTTGAAAGAAGGCAGATGCAAGTGGCCACAGAGTGTGCGATTCCATTTATGCGACTCATCGGGATGGGCGAATCAGCAGACAGAAGGTGGATCGGGGATGCCCGGGGCTGGGGCACGGGGGGTTGGTGCTGAGAGTGCCTCTCATGGGCTGTGGGCCCCCCTCCGGGTGGCGAAGTTGGGCTTGAGCTAGGTGGAGGTGCTGGCTGCTCAACACTGTGAGTGTTCTGGATGGTGTGGATCGCTTCACTTTAAGAAGGTGAATTTCCTGTGAATCAGAACCAAAAGCTGCAGGACTGAGAGAATTCAAACCTCTCCCTGTCGCTCTCTCCTGGTTCAAAGGTGTCAGGACCCCCAGGTCGGCCTTGTCTCCTCCACCCTTCCACGGATGTGCACATCCGCGGGGTCCTCACCCTCCAGCCTTGACCGGCCCCGGGTGGGGCTCAGCCAGGGGTGTTAGCAGAGCACCAGGCGGCTGCTGGCCCATGGATGTGACCCCAGACCCGCCTGCCAGGGCCGCCTTGGGGCAGAGGGACCGGGGGCGCAGGGCCTGGGTGAGGCCCATGCCTGCTCCACGCCTGTCCATTGGGTCAGAGGCTTGGGGCTGGACGCATAGGCCGAGGGGCTGGGGAGGGTCCCGTGCAGCCGGGGTCCCTGTGGGCAGACAACCATGGGGCTCCCTTCTGATGAGCTGAAAGCCTGGCAAGTCTGGCCATGTGTCTCCCAGGCCCCAAGCCAGCCTGGGAAGGGCCTCCCGAGACCCTGGATGCTGTCCCCTGCCCCCAGGAGCCCGTCTCACTCTGGGGCACGCACCCCCAAACAGGGAGGAGCGCAGGGTCAGGGTACGGGCGGGGGCACCCAAGGGCGGGGCTCTGGGCCTGCACTTCCGGAGGGCCCCCAGAAGGGTCGCAGAGATGGCAGGTTCCCGTGACGAGAGGGCCAGGGGCCTGGAGGGAGTAGGGAGGCCGAGCCCAGGAAGGCTGAGCGGCGGCCCGGAGCCCCCACGGCGTTCGGACCCAATTCAGCCCTGGCTGTAACTCTGCGGGCCAGAGAGTGAGCTGGTCAGCGCTGCTCCAGGGCGTCCGGGGTCCCTGGAGGCTTGCCGAGGGCCTGATGTGGGGCTCCTGGGTGTGGGTCTGGGACTATTCGGGAGGAGTGATTTTTTCCAGGCTGGCAGCTCTCGCAGGCCTGACCCTGAGGAGCCATCAGGCCGTTAGCAGACCCCCAGCCCGCCCCGCACGGGGCTGCGGAGGCCCAGATGGAAATTTACGGTGTTGAGGAGAGAGCCTCTCGCCTGGGGTTCCGGCCGGCCGGGGCAAGAGGACAATATTTCCCACCGAAGGGAAGTGCAGAAGCTCTTAACAGATCGATGGCTGCCTCTGGTCAATAAACCACGGAGCTCTGTGGAGCCCCCCGCCCCCCGCCGCATCCTCCCAGGGGCTGCAGTGGCTGAGATGGGACCCACACCCGCTTTCTCCTCCAGGCCCGGGTCGGGGTCGCCACGGGGATGGGTCCCAAGAGTAGGCAGTGTGGGCATCAGGCGGCTGAGTGTGCTGACCCGGGTCCCCGCCGTCCCGAGCCTCAGTTTCCTCCTTTGTCTGGTGGACACCAGGGCATCCTGGAGGGATCCTGAGCAGTGGGGGGGACGCTGTAGAGCGCGGGGCAGGAGCGTGTGCGTGGGTGCAGCCTCCTGGCCCATCAGCCCAGACTGAGGCCGCCTCCACCGCTTGCTCGCTGCGGCAGAGTGGTGGGCCGCCTGCCCAGCTGGCCCCAGGGGACGCCACGTGGCCGGGACACGGGGCCAGACTCTGCTCTCCATCTGGTTCAGCGTGTCTCTCTCCAGAAACCCCCGCCTCCTGTGGCTTCTGCCCTCTCCCCCCGCCCCGCTGGAGCGGCCTGCATAGTGCCCGAGCACTGGTGGACCCAAGCCTGTGGGTCGGCCCAGAGCCCTGCTAGCACATCGGGGGCCACACTACCCCCCACAGGCCCCAGAGGCAGCAGGTGGGGGGCTGTGCACACAGCACCTCCCACCTCAGGGGGCAGCGTCCCGAGTGCCCGGCCCCACAGGCTGGGTGAGGTCTAGATGTGGAGGGGCTGAAGCACAGGCTGTGGAGAAGCGGAGGAGAGGGCAGGGCCAGCTCCTTGGGGACGCGGCTGGCCCGTGTGGCCCCTCCCTGGCGTCTTGCAGGCCGGCGACCCTTGTTCAGTGGCACTTCTGAGGTCCGTGAGCCATCAGAGTGGCTGTCCTGAATTCTTGGTTCTCCCCGCCAAGGCCCCCGGGAGAGGCCTCTCTGTGTGGGTGAAGGATTCTGGCTCCCAGGAGGGGCTGGGGAGGGGTTCTCCCCTGGCAGAAACCAAACCCCTGCCATCCAGAGGCCAAGCCTTACCTCTGTCTTTGGGCGGGCGCGAAAACTTGCCCAGTGCGGGGGGGAAGGGCTCAGGGTCACCCAGCACGCTGGAGGCCCCGCTTCTTAGCTCCCATTTTATCCCCGTTTCGCAGGTAAGACAACAGAGGCTCCAGGTCCAGGCCGTGCCCTGGGCCAGGGAGCGCCTCCTGGGGCCTGCAGTCCCGCCCGCCAGGCCAGGCTGGTGCCAAGGAGCCTCGGCGCCTGGAAACCGGAGAAGCCAGACAGCCTGTGCACCCGTTGCCCTGGAGATGCGAGGGGGCCGCCTGTTTGTCTCAGAGCCAGGCCCGAGCGGCACCTTGGCCCCCGCGCCCCCCGGCCAGACACGGCTCCGGGCATCAGACAGGGTGACTGTGGGGCCAGCTCCACGGACTAAGGCCTGGACCAGGCTGGTAAGAAAGAAGCTATGGGTCCTGTGGGCACGGCCCCAAGGCCAGGGCATCAACTCCGCCTGCAAGGAGGCGGTGTGCGGAGCCTCCCCGAGAGTCCGTGCCCCCTGAGCTGGGCAGGAGCGTCCTGTCCGAGCAGAGCCCATGGGCTCCTGTCCAGACCCAGGTCTGGGAGGCGGGCCCCCAGGCAGCTCCCCATCCATCGCGGAAGCCAAGTGCACTGGAGAATGTCCTCCCGGCCAGATTAGCCGTGCCCACGCTCCTGAAGACACTAAATCTACAAATTGGCAGAGAGTAGGGCCAGGCCAGGGTGCTCCGTCAGCTCCTGTCCAATTAGCCCTGATACCGTCCTAATCCTCCCCGACGGTGGGAAGTCAGCCGGGCACCGCCGGCCCTTCCGGCGGGCTCCTCGGTCCCGCCGGCTCCTTCCGCCCCTCCAGGCGCAAAGATGACTTTCCCTATCAAAATGTGCAATAAAGGCGACGAGGCCCATTTCTTTTTTCTATTTTGAATTCTGTTAACTGACAATTTAACCTAAAATCCTCTGTATTTCCAGCTTGTACAGCCGTAAATAGAGACTGACAGTTTATTTTCACATCCCGGCTTGCGGGGGGCGGCGGGGGGAAACCCATTTGAAATAAATACTTGAGGGTCCCTGACAGACTCCAGACGGGCCGTCGACGCCGCCTGGCAATCTCTGGGACCTGTCACACTCTGTGATCCGTCTTTTTACAAACACAAACGCCGCTGATTTCTTATCAAATGTAAAACCGGCCCAGCTCTTTCTTAAATGGTTACCACGAGCATGAAATTGACATTGTGAATCACATGTGACACTGGCTTGTCTGCGCTGTAATTGATCGGTGCTTAGGACCGGGGCTGCCCCAGCCCCCGCCGGCCTGGCCGCACCCCCCGCCCGCCAGCCCGCCGAGCTGGCCCGCCAGCCACGACGTCAGTGGGAGAAAACCCCCAAGAAGACGCTGGATCCATGTTCACCCGGCCTCCCCCCTCCGCGATCCTCCGAGGTGTCAATTCCAATTTCCACGGCTTCATCATTACGCACATCAAACGGCTGTAATTGGCTGCTACAGAAATTTATCCTCCAAAAGGAGAGCGGGGGCAGCGGAGGAGGGCGCCTCGGAGAGCGGGAGGCGGCAGCGGTAATGAGATTTTGGAAGCCGCGGTGCCACCCCCGAGGTTGGCAGGGAGAGGGGAGGCTGGAGAGCCTGCGCGCTCGCTCGCGCCGGCGAACAAAACGCCGTTTGAAAACAAGCCTGGCAGAGTGTGGGTGTCACACAACAGTCGCAAACACACAGCAGCCTTCCAGGGACAGCCGGCCGCCTTTCACTGCCTCGTCGTCGCCACGGCGACTGCAGGCCGCACTCGCGGCCCCGCCCCCACCCCGCGCTGGGCATAGCTGGGTGCCCCCTGCCACGCAGACGCCCCTGGGGGGGGGGGCGGTTTCTGTTCTGCAGGCAGGGAAACTGAGGCTGAGGGGCCAGGGGGAGTCAGGACCCCAGAGCACTGGGCCTCCTCCTTCAGAGGCTTTGTCTCCGGCCACCGCTTGGGGCCTCTCTGCCATGCCATGACCCTCAACGGTGCACCTGCCTCGTGCAGACCACCCATCCCACCTCCGAGGCTGCCCACCCTTTGTCCCGCATGGCCAGCCCATGCCCCGGGTGGCCCGTGAAATCTGAATCGGTTTTTCAGGCCATGGATTTTCTGGGACCTCCTGGGGAGCAAGTTAGCCTGTGAGGAGACAGAGCAGAGCCGGCGGCAGGGCCCCCGGCTGCACCCCCAGGCTCTCTCCTGCTCAGGGCTCTGCACACACGTCTCTGCCTCGCCCGGCCCCAGCTCTGCCTGGCCTGGCCCTGGGGAGCAGGTGCCCCCGTGGCTGGGGGAGCGGGGCCCATGCGCAGCCCAGCAGCTCCCCGGGCGAGGGCATTCGTGTCCTTGTTGTTCCCTTTGGGTTTTGTGCCTGATGAAACAATGACACCAAATTACACGCGCAGCGATCCCGCCTGGCGGCGGGCGGGTGGCAACTCCCTGGACCGCGGCTGCACTGCCCGCCTCCTCTTCTGGGCCCTTGGCCAGGCCCTCCAGGCTCTCACCGCGGCAGGAGACAGTGCCCGTTTTCCAGATGGGGAAACTGACATGGGTTTCCTGGGCGAGCCCACAATGAGATGTTCAGGCTGGTATCCCCTCCTGGGCCTGCACGCCTGCAGAGGCTGCCTGAAGCGTCTCAGGAAGTCTGGGGGATGCCTCAGTCATGTCTGGGAGCTTCTCAGGCCTCCTGGACAGGAAAGCAGCATCCTCCTGGCTGCCGGGCTGACCTTTCTTGTGTGGGTGCTGCCCTGGGTTCATTGCAATGGAGTGTGTTTCCCTTTTTGCCCTGGCCCCTGGGAAGCTCAGAGTCAAACCACAGTCTGTTTCCGCCTGTGTGGCTCCATGGTATGCACTTCTGAGCCCTGACCTCAGTTCTGGCTTCGCTGCATTTTCACTCAGTCAGGTGTTATTTCGTGCTCACTGCCTCAGATTCTTTGGGAATGCCACGGCTGAGGTGAAGGGCCTGGGCCTGCTGCTGCTGCGCTGTAATAGGGCCCGCTTGCTACGCCCGCCCCAAGGTCTGTGTTCAGCTCCCATGGTGGGGGAGGACCAGGCCGGGGCTCGGACCGGAGGGGCATCTTGTGTTGCTGCTGATGGCAGGGGACCCATTCTGTGGCTTGATTCACGGGCAGCTCCCAGGGAACCACAGGGGAATGGCAGGGTGATCGAGTCCAGGGTCAGCAAGCAGGTTTCCCCCGTCGTCTGTGGTGGAGGAGCCTCTGGGGTGCCCGGCACGGAGGGTTCTGTGGTCCTGCCTGGGAGAGAGAAGGGCTCGCGTCGTGCTATCTGCTGGCTGCTTGCCACCCGGGGCCGCTGGTCGCACTCCCTGATGCTGGGCCCCCTGGGCACCTCTCCGGCTACCGTCCTTCCATTCACCCGCTCAGAGAATGGTCCTCGGGCACTACCAGTCTGTCCGAGCACTGGGGCGGCCAGGTCTGCTGGGTTTCTGTCGCGGGCCCTGAAGGCCGGGCAGTGAGGTCACTGTGAGCAGGAGCGGGGCCTCGGGTGGGGAGGGTCTGTGCCTGAGACACCAGGGGTGAGAGGTCACCCTGGGGAGGGCGGGCGAGGCAGAGGTGGGATCTGGGGGCCCCTGGGAGGTCCAGAGGATGGGGGCATGGCCTGGGGCCACCCCGGAATTCGGGTCCCCAAAAGGATGGGCTGGTGGGGGAGGATGAGCTGTGTGGGGCTCCAGGAACATGAGTGGGCCTCTTAGAGCTCAGGTGTGAATCCTGGGGTCCCCCAGGACCCCACCTCCCCCTCTACTCTTGGAGAGCCAGCGGGAGCCCGGACGCCAGCTCCAGCATCATCATCAGTGGAAGGAGAAGGCCACTGGGTCAGCCCTGGTCCTGGCGGGGGGCTCTGCCAGGGTGCCCCGAGTCAGGGCTGCTCACACGGGTGGGCCGCCCCGTCCTCCCCTGACCCAGGGCTCACACAGGCGGGCCGCCCCATGCTCACCCGACCCGGGGCTCTCCAGACATCAAAGCTCAGGAGGAGATTTTCCTGCTCAGGCTGAGAACAGAGGTGACGTAAGTGAGGACCCAGTGAGTAATAGGAGTGAGCGAGCCTCTCTCCGCGTGTTCTGCAGCCCGGGGAAGAGAGGCTCCTGGGGTCTCCACCCCTCCCCAGCGCCCCTGCCTGTCCCCAGGGACTCAGAACAGCGGGTGAAGGGCAGGTCTCAGCAGAGCCGTGCTGGCCCGGCCTGAGGACGGCCTGGTCCTGGCCCCTTGGGAGAGGTGGAGGCCAGCGGGGCGGCCCCTGCGCCAGCCAGGCAGCGGGGGTGGCCAGGCGAGGGGTGCGCTGGGCCGGGGGCTGCAGGTCTCAGGGCTGGGCGCACGCAGCCGTCCTCTGGACGTGCGGTCCGGGGCGGCCGGCCTGCCTGGCTGCCCCCTCTTCCCTCCTGTACACAGCAGCGTGGCTGA